AACAATGATGATGAAATCAAGATCAAGGTTATTCTTATATTAATAAGAAGATGAATAGGCTAATATGTTAGTGTTTTAAAAATCACCCCCAACTTGGGGCTTAACAGAGAAATTAAATATATATGTATAGCATAGAATTTTGTGTTTGGCTATTTTTAAATTCTTTTTAAATTGCCATTGATTTATTAAATGTGATTGACGTTTTGAAAGCCAGCCAATTTTTGAATTCTTATGCTTATTAGAGAAATGAAAATGTAGTATATAAACTTATCTCTTTATTGAGATGAGTTCTCATTTATCAAAGAAATTTGCTGTGAATAAGGTCCATTTTTAAGTAAACTATATAAACATTTATAAATTAAACAAAGGACGAAGGTAAGCTTTTACTAAAAAGATCTATTAATAATAGAAACAATTTTTTCTTATTTTAAAATATATATACATATATACATATACAGGCATGTTCTGTAAATCGAACGATTTTGAAATCAATATGATTTGCTAAATATTGATCGTTATTTCTGATGAAAAGATTGAATATTTTTTATATAAAAAATATAATAGAACCATCAGCGATGTTATATCATCCGTATCAATACCAAATTATGAGTTTTATGATTAAAAATCCATAAAAATATAAAAATATATATGATATTCTATTTTTTATATACGTTTATAGACTGAATTTTATATAAATGGAGAGAACCTATGGAATGTAATATCTACTGAAGATGTGGAATCGCGTGGCCTACAGGTGTTTTGTGATGAAATATCTACAAATCCTCTTCCTGAAGTAGAATACTATTGGACAGGAAAAAAATATCTTATAGTATATTATGGACATCAATATTTTAAATTAAAACCCCGTGTGGTACGGGAAAACCCAAATTTATTAATAAACAATTAAAATAAAAAATATATATATAATGAGGAAGAATTTTCGACCTTAAAGTAAGCAAAGTCTTTCTTAGATCCAGAGATGGATTTTTGGTTCAGTGTAAATAAAACATCTATTCCTGAAGCACCTACATCTAATCTGAAAAAGTTTTTCACAACACAGGAAGCCATAGAAGCATTTAGGTAAGATCTAATACAAAAAGAGAAATATATTTCGGGAATAATTGAGAGCTCATAACCCGTTTATAGACATTTTCAGCTTCAATATGAAGATAATATTATGCTACGAATTCGCTGTACATATGATAGTGATTTCCTTCAACGTAAACTGAATATTTCTTGTTTTGTGTACCGCCAGGTTGCATTCGAGAAAATTTTAAGTAACGGTGAAATTGAAATTGTTACTGGAGATGATATCACACTACGCTGAGATGTCACATAAATTGATATTAAAAGATACAAACATGATATGGATGTGGAAATTTCTTAACTTTTAATACTTTTAATACTATAATATGGATTTGCCGTATTCATATGACATATAAAAAGAATACAAATGTAGTATATTAAAAGATTAATTTGATATTCGGTTTTCATTACTCAGCGGAGTGTGATCGATTAGTTAATAAAATTGGTGGTTGTAATACATACTTATGTTCACAATTATTTAAATAGGATTTGATTAGACTCTAAAAAAATAATATAAACTTTTATAGAAATTCATAAGACTATTTTTTAGGCGAATTCAAAAAAAAGCTCAATCTATATAATGTTAGAGGAATATACGGTTGGTTATAGATGTTCAGGGATTCTATTTTAATATGAAATTTATTGCTAAAGAAGTCAACATATCAACATATATATAACATATATATCATATATAAAAACGTTTCTTATTCAACCTCCTTTTGAATAATCTAAGTTGATGATACGGGATAAAACAACTAATAACTGGTTATATCATACTCATCATGGATTAAAATGGGAAGATGGTGATTCGGCTTTAATGGCTGTTATTGAGGCTGCGTTTATTTATACATTCCGGATAATCCCATATCACTACCGGAATAAACAGAATGCGTTTGAAATATACGTTAACATATCATCAGGAACGTTCTAAAGAATAAGTAAACAAAAAAGTTTATTCCAAACGTTCAGAATGAATAAAGAAATGCAGCCTGAATATATTCAGTCATTAATGAAAAGAAAAAATTATATATTCTATG